TTACGTTCCCTAACAGATTCTCCTGTAACATTTGCAAGGGTCCACGAACTTTATGGCCAAAGACTAACTCAAAAGGAGAACAGCCCAGTGAACTTTGTAATCCCTCTCTAGCCGCAAACAAAACATACGGTAAATTCTCATCCCAGAAGGTGTGGGAACTCTCGCACGATGTCTTCAACATCTGCTTCAGAGTTAGATGGAAACGTTCAATTACCCCCTGACTCTGTGGATGGTATGGGCTGGAAACCTTATGAGTTATTCCATGTTCCTTACAAAATTGCTCGAAAACATCAGACTTAAAATTAGTACCATTGTCAGTTTGCACGACCCGAGGCAGTCCAAAAGTGGAAAAAAATTGCAACATACGAGCAACAACAGTTTTTGCTCGGATGTTCCTTACAGCAAAAGCCTCTGGGTAACGAGTAGTGATACACATCATCGTGATTAGGTAAATATTACCAGACTTAGTTCTAGGTAATGGTCCAACACAGTCCATTACCACATGAGAAAATGGTTCCTCTGGCACGACAATAGGCCTTAGAGGAGCTTTAGGTGGAGTCTGGTTTGGTTTCCCAACCAGTTGACAAACAATACACGCATTACAAAATTTTGCCACGTCGCTTTTCAGCTTGGGCCAGAAAAAATACTTTAAAATTTTGTGATACGTAATATTAATACCTTGATGTCCCCCCATAGGATCATCATGAGCAGCTGCCAAAACTCTTTCTCTATAGCAGGTCGGCAACATAACCTGGTGGACTACCTCCCACTCATTTGACAAGGGAGCACTCTGTGGTCTCCATTTTCTCATCAAAATCCGATCATTGTAGTAGTACCCAGTTGCTGCTTCTACAATTTCCTCCATAGAGACGGCTGTTTCATGACAATCTGCAAGAGTGGGGTCAGCTTTCTGTAACTCACTCAAGGAGGCATCTAGGCCTTGGTCAGATGCCATTGGCCGAGGCTCAACAGTGTTCTCCACCTCCCCACTACTCTCGGTAGATGGCGGTGGCAGGCTCTCCACAATGTCCTCGGCCACGTCATCGAGTCGGGCCATGAATGTGTCCGCGAGGTCCACTTGGTTTTCACCACTCGGAAAGCTCCTCGTGACCTCGGGATTTACCACCTTGGCAAGCACAGGGCTGCCCTTACATTTAAGTCCCATAGACCTGGTCACCGCGCACGCAGGGTACACAACATTATCCTCTGCGGCGGGTGGATCCAGGCAAACCTTAGGGGTAGGCAACATAATAGGCAGTCTGGAGTCCCCTACCTTATCCCCTGCTAAATCATTACCAACTATTACATCAACATTAGGGAAAGGTAGGTATGAAGTGACTCCGACTGTACAAACACCCTTGTGGAAATCAGATTCCAGGGTAACCTTATGGAGGGGTACTGCCCGAGTATCACTAGTGACACCCTCGACCAGTACCACCTCTCCAGTGTCGAGAGTGTTGGCACCTTGCAATGCACTCTCTAAAATTAAAGTCTGGATGGCACCGGTGTCTCGGAAGATCACCACGTCCTTCCAGGAAGAACCCTCAGACAAAAGTAGTCTCCCTTTCGATAAGAATGGGGTAAGCAAGTCCAACCACTGTGGGTTGGAGGTCTTACTCCCTAACCCTTCTGAAAGCCTCAAGCCCTGTGTCACAACTAGAGCATTGGGTCTTTTTTCAGGGTGCAGTTGCCAACAACGGCTAATAGTGTGGTTTGGACGATTACAGTGACCACAAAAACGTCGGGGAGAAGAGACATTACTAACAGAATTACCCTTCGGTTCACCTTTAGGTGCCGTTGGGCTAGACACTTTAACAGGGTTAGTTATGTCTGAAACAGAAGGTGCATTAGGTAAAGGGTTAGAATGAGCTGGTCTGGACTGGCTGTGGGTATAAGGTTTGCTACTCTGTGGGGTATAATTATTTTTATTGGGCCTTTTGCCCGCCAATTGGTAGTTTTCTGCCAACTTGGCCAAATCCCCTATTTTAGAATTTAACTCTATCCTTCCTCTAATATACTGTGAAACATTCTCTGGCATCATATTTATAAAATGCTCCATTAAAATTAAGTTCCTGAGAGCCTCGTATGTTTCGGCTTTCGCCGAGCGAATCCATCTATCAAACAATCGAATTTGATCATTCACAAATTCAGTGAGCGGTTGGTTGTGAGTAGGCCTAAGGTTACGATAAACTTGGCGGTGAGCTTCAGGAGTAATTTCATATGCCCGCAAAATACATTCCCTGACTTTATCATATTCGAAACACTCGTCGTCAGGCATGTTTATAAAAATATCTTGTGCTTTACCCCTAAGTCTTCCCTGTAGGATTTTCACCCACTCTTCCTTTGGCCAGTTCATGGACGTGGCCACTCTCTGAAAATGGTTGAAAAACCTTTCAGGGTCAGACTCGGAAAATTCAGGCAAATTATGCTTTTTCTCATAATGCCTGGGGTTTGAATCCCCGGCAGGTGGAGTTCCAGTGGCATTCGCTCTAATTCTAGCCTCCTCGGTTTTGAGTTTTTGCTCCTCTAATTTTATTTTTGCTAACTCTAAAGCTAATTCACTTTCCCTATGAGTTGCACTTTCTGCTTGGCTAGGCTGGCATAAAGGTGTATCACTTGCCAATAGTTTTTCATCAATACAATGTTCTAATATTTCATTTACCAAAGTCCACTATTTATCTGCGACATTTAATTCTAGGCCAAATTCCTGGCCTAACAATACTAAATTAGACTTTTTAAGTTTCTTTATCTCTACCACTGAAGGCTCCCTTGCCAGTTTCTGCATTTCAGAAGACATCACTAATAATTTTAGCTCCCAGCCAAAGAAAAAATTAAAAAATAAAAATTGGAAAAAAACAAAAAAATTTGCACGGCCCCTAACACAAGGCCACACTAACCTTAATCGTGAAGGGATCCAGCTGGGTGTCCAGTCAGTGCAAGAATGTCCTTTGCTAGATGAGCTGGACCCTAGGCTAGCACACAACCGTTCTGCGGAAATAAAAAATTTTAATTTTGGCACTCAAGAATCTAATTTTTTACACTTATAATGTTCATCCCGGACAGGCCAACCACTTGTTACAAATGATATGAGTGGGGCTTCTATGGGGTACTGGTACTATTAAGGGGTATAGGTAGTTAGAAGACAGGAGTATCAAATATGGGAGAGCTAAAAGGCCCGGCCCCCAAAATAAACTATCCACAGTAGTAATAACTTGCTACAAGACCAAATATGTTCGTCTAAGGGTTGATCACTGCGCTCCCACCTTGGAAGAAGAGATACTCTGTAATTCATGTACTTATTTATTAACCCGTTAACAACCCCCCATATACACTCACACCAATAACAATAATAATAATAACTTTACCACACTATCTTACGTTAAAAGCCTTGGTCCACGTAGGCAGGATACAAGGTTTACACTAATAACAAGCTAGGGTAAAGTACTACTGGATAAGCACTGAAGCTGGATGCAGCTTAGGGTAGTGAAACCACGTGGGACCCTAATACAAAACACAACACTTAGGGGTACCCCAAACACTGGCAAAATACTATCCCCAGGTCTCCCCAATCGTTACTACCAGAGTAGGCACACTTACACCATATAATACTTAACTTAAGGGTACAGGAACTTCAGGTAAGGGAAATAAGTAAGAGGAGAAGGAAGGAGAGTAGGGATACAGCCACAGAATAGGTCTTAACCTCACGCCACCAGCCAAGAGAAGACCGAGCTAGCCACCAGCTGCCTCCCTCATGTTGTGGTGCCGGGAGGAGCCTAATTGATCGTGCAGCTAAGCACATTAAAGATCTTCCCCTATGAAACGTATTGTTACTTTATGAATGATTAGAAAGTATTAGTAAGCAAAGTTGGTGCCTATGATATTATTTAATAATCAACCCCCAGCTCTGTCTTTAAATGCTCTTTGAGAAACAATAATAGTCTTACGTCTGGCAGGGAAGATACAAACAATTTCCATTCGAAATGCGCCAACTGTACTACTTAGGAAGTTTAATAGCTCAATTTTGACCTCTGGTTTCCACTGGAGAACCCAGGGTCGTAACAATGACATACATGAAAATTTTCGTATTATGCTTTTTTTGAACATTTCTAGGAGATAGTTTATGAAATTTACCTGAATTTACCTGCACGAGAGTGTTCCTCGACAGGAAGAGGAACCAGGTGTTGTTTTTTAGTTATTTTTAACAAAGATAACATAGGCATGTACACCTATAAGCTCAATCCTCCTGTCATTTTCCTCTTTCTGTTCAAGATTAATATTAGCAAATTCTCCACAATAATACTGTGCCTTACAATAGGACAATCAGTGCACTTTCCCATAAGAATATATTTATACTGTATCTTATATATTTTTAATCGAAATAAGACATTCAGAATTTGAGTACAGTATTTCATACATTGTAGCGAAATAATTAATTATGATATGATGTAGATATAGTTAGAAATTGGCTTTTCAGAATTTAAAATACATAGGGTTATTTAATAGTTAACTGAACCAAACATAAGACTGGAATTTATAGTATTTTTCCTATTTTTTAGGATAACTATATGAGTGATTTGTAAATCTATTAAACTGTTAGTGAAAACCTCTTAATATATACATATATTGCTCTATATTTGTAGTTTAATTCAAATATATTTCAAATTAGGCGCCGTAAAAAGACGTCAACTAGTGCCATCTGTTGGCCAATATAGCAGAAAAACTTACCATTTAGAAAGCAGTATTTATACAACTTAAATTTATTTTGTTTTATAACGTTTCCCATTGCACGTTTAAACTGCAATATCTCCCTTAATACCTAAACAAGCTCAAAATATTTCATCCCATCAGATAGAAAATTTAAGCCGCTATTATTATAGCGGCAAAACAGTGTTAAACAATTTGACATACGATTGATATATGTGGCCGAAGAGGCGGCAAAGTTATCTGTGAACGAAACGTAAAGAAACCTCCCCAAGTGTGGGCAAGTTCTCCCCGCAGTCGCCATTTTCTGGTCGGGTGAGAGAGGGACAACTTGCGCCGAGCTGTCATCTTCCCAGTTAGCCTTTTTTTTTTTAAAACGCTCCCCCTGTTCTTCCACGGGCCTTCCATGCCAGGATTAAGATCCCGTTGAGGTTATCATGGCGTGTCTGAACACCCTCAAGCAGGAAATACGGGTATTGGAGAACTCTTTCCCCAAAACAGACGATCTGTTCCAAGTGGTGGCCGCCAGTGTTGACGAACTAACCTGTCGATTTATTTCCAAAACGGGCAAGAAATATGACATTCACGCCAACATCACAGTAAGTAGGCCGCCCGCGGCGCCCACGCCGCCCACGCCCACCTCCCAGCTTGGGGCCATTTTTGACCAATGGGGTAAAATCAATGTTTAACATGTCAGCGCGAAGGTCGAACCCACAGTCCTGGCTTTGTTTACAGAGGTCCAAGGCCAAGTGAGCCAGCAGGCCCGTGTGGCCCTGTGGCCTGGCCACCCTGCCCCTGGCCACACCCTGGCCACAGGGACACCCTGCGGCCACCAACGGGCTTTATTGTGGTAATTTGGTGGCCGGGCCATGGTGGCCACTCTGACCTCCACCCCCGGGCCACACTGGGATGATTTCGTGGCCCCCGGGGTGCCTGTGGCCACATGGCACCCCTGCTGCCTGGCCCAGGTGGGCTATGGGGGGGTTGTGGGCACTAGTGGCCCTGGCTGGTGTGGGGCCACCCTGATGGCCTCACCTGGGCCATTAAAGCTATTCAAGGTGCATGACGGACCAGGGTCTTTGAGTATGGCCATTTTAATAGCCATACTCCTAATTTCATTTAAATCTTCATGGCCCTGTGGCTGTGTGGGGGGGGGGGTCGGGCCACCATGGCCCTGTGGCTGTTGGGGGGGGGGGTCGGACCACCATGGCCCTGTGGCTGTTTGGGGGGGGGGGTCGGGCCACCATGGCCCTGTGGCTGTTTGGGGGGGGGAATGGGCCACCATGGCCCTGTGGCTATGTGGGGGGGCACCATGGTCCTGTGGCTGTGGGGGGGGCCACCATGGCCCTGTATTCACCTAGTTGTGTTTTGTGGGGGTTGAGCTTTTTTTGCTCTTTCGGCCCGCCAATCAACTGTTTTACTTTTTTTTTTCTCTCCACACCACACACACCCCCCCAGGAAGCAGCCCGTGACAGCTGACTAACTCCCAGGTACGTATTTACTGCTAGGTAACAGGAGCATTCAGGGTGAAAGAAACTTTGCCCATTTGTTTCTGCCTGGTGCAGGAATCGAACCCGCACCACAGAATTATAGTAAGAGTCCTGCGCGCTATCCACCAGGCCCCTGTAGTGGGGGGGGGGAGACCACCATGGCCCTGGGGCTAAGTGGGGGTCCACCATGGCCCTGTGGCTAAGTGGGGGGGGGAGGGACCACCATGGCCCTGGGGCTAAGTGGGGGGGGGAGGAGGAACCATCATGGCCCTGTGGCTGAGTGGGGGGACCACCATGGCCATGTGGTAGATTGGGGCTTAGAGGAGTCCACACCTTGAATCATTAGGCGTAAGGGGCCTTATCTAAGGTGGTTTCATGTTTCTGGATCCTTGTAGCCTCTCATTGGCCATCCCTGCTTCTTGACCCTTGACTATTAAGAGGATTTGTTAAGGATATTCCATGGCTCTAGTAAAGAGGTCATAAACTGGCCTTCCTCAGTGACTTTTTATTTGGCTGGGGAGGCCATTGGTGCAGATTCCTTGTACCTGATGCTGGTACAGTATTGGGCATGTCATTTTGTAGACCTGATATTTTGCACTGTATTTCCTTTAAAGGTTGTATTCTAAGGAAGAAACCACTATCCCATCTGTTGTATTTCACAGATTACATTGAAATGTAATACTGTACACTATTACGTCGGTCACATACACATGTTAATGTAGGACTTGGATTGTGGTGGTAGACGATGAGTCACAATGTGGCTGAAGCATGTTGACCAGACCACACACTAGGTGAAGGGACGTTGACGTTTCGGTCTGTCCTGGACCATTCTCAAGTCGATTGTGGCTTGAGGGGGGGGGGGGGGTTGACTACCACCACAGCCATTGTGGTGGTAGTCTCGTAGGCTTTGAAAATGGTAGGCGAGTCCTCTCAGCTATTGTCAGTTTTTGAATACAGACTGTGGCTACTGTACTGTCTTTAGTGCATGCTCTTCTCGGGCTCCTAGCCACCCCCAAAGATGTCACAGTACACTGTACTGTAGAGTAGCACCCCTGTAGAGCGCACCCAATAAACGTAGAGTAGGGGTTCTGGAGTGCAGGTTCCCACAGCATGTGCAGCTCTGTACAGTCAGTGGTGCCACTAAGTCACTGGTTTAATTTTTGTTTGCCTAGGCTTCATTTCATCTTGTAGAGCATACTAGATTCTGGTCCGGGTTTCTGATAAGTGACTAACAAGTCTCGCTCGGGATGTGGGGTCTAAGGCACAGTTTTCCAATCTATAAGGTAGGGGGAACTACAGTACTACGTTCTCAACCAGAAAATCCATGCTCTGTTTGGCATTTTTATCCAAAGTGGGTCAATTTCATCAACATGTAAAATTTGAATAAAATTCCATTCACCTGCATAAATTTGAGTAAAATCTAAAGTTTATTTGAGTAAAATATTTTAATCTTCAGTAATTTCAGCTAATTTTGTAACATTTAGTTTCTCACAATAAGCACTAGCAGCCTCACCACTAAGGAAATTTCTCCTAGACTTTTACAGTATCTATTACTGTAATCCACAAATATAGAACTTGAAGATGCTCCTAATATCTTCTAAGGTTTCAGAATGACTTAATTTTCTCCTGGGTGAGCATGAGGCTGATGGGATTTCTGTAATACAGCAATTATGGTTCTCTGCCAAGTTAACAACTTTTCCATGTCACAAATTACACAAGTCTTTTCCTTGTTCCTATTGTAGACGTCAATGGTGCAGAACCTTCCATGTGCTCTAAAATTTGAATCTTGTCCTTGATAATACACGAGGCGTGATTATGGAGCAGGTAGTGGGCATATACACGCACTCCCACACAATCTGTTGGTTATCCAGCTTTGTTTCATGGGTAATTGGTCACCACTTTCATGCTACTGTCACCATAACTTTTTTCGGCCATTGATAATGGTGTTTTCCTTGATAAATAAGGCACTTGTTTATTCTAGTGAAATATGCCATATTATTAAGTTTGCAAATATTGTGTTGTGTACTGTGATAAAAAAAAATGGCTAGTGGGTGGGGAGGGGTGTCGAGTGAATTGTATATGAACTACTGTGTATACTAGGGGAAATAATTTATAAGTAAAATGGCATTTATAAATATGGGAGAATTATTACAATGGGAAGAAATTACTAGAATGCCATTCAATGTAGAGGGTCCAATAAAATGACTCGATGTGCAGAAATATTGTTACTCGTACACAATTAAAATAAAACTATAGAATCAGTGAACATAGATGCAGACAATCATTTTTAATTAAAGGATTGAAACAAAACATTTATATATCTGCATTACATGTATTTTCAACTCGAGAGTAATCGGTACAATATTTGATACATTTGGTACAGAAATCAATACAAATTTGATACATTTATTACTCTGATAAGATTATTGAACCTCATGGCAAGAAGGGGAAATGTCTTGCAGTGACTTTAGGTAGGCTCTCACAATGCTGTCCTGTCTGAGTCAGCAGTGCTCAGAGGAGAGAAGAGGTGGAGGGCAGTGCTACAAGAGAACATTGGAAGTATCATACATAAACAGATCTTCCCAGGCACTCTTCTCTCCAAACCTGAAAAATTACATAAAATTATAATACACATGACAATAAAACAAAAAAATAGTAAAAGTAGTATTAAGTACTGTACTACAAATAAAATGCCAGTTAATATATTGGAAATAAGTGCACTTTTCATATATATAGTTTTTAATGTTTTTATCATTTCAGGAAACTTACCCACACTCCCCTCCAGTCTGGTTTGCTGAGACTGAAGACACAAATGTTACAAATGCTATTGAACGGCTCAGTAACACGAGTGGTAGAGATAATCACGTGAGTATTTTTTGCCCTTCGCATCTTATTTATTACTCGAGTGACTTTGGTTGCCTTCTGTGTTCTTAGCAATAGGAGTCCCAAGTTGACAACATTCCTAAGTAGCTATTCATATCTATTGGCAAGATCTGGATACATGATTTCCTATTACTGTAGTTTTATGCTATAAATGGGAGTTAGGCTCTCCAAACCATATCAGATTGATATAAAATATAGTACAGTACAGTAAATTTTTTAAATACAAATAATGTTTAATAAAGACTTTGAGTTGGTGTGCTGTTTGGCATTGATGATTATTCAGTATTTAGGAAAGGATTAAATAGTGGAGAGTGAGGAAGTAGAAATTGAGTTCTGGAGATAGAGGCATACCTCAGAATAAGAGTTTAATCCGTTCCTGGAGACGCCTCGCCTTCCGAAAACTCGCATTCCGAAGTTAATTTCCCCATAAGAAATAAAGGGAAATGAATTAATCCGTTCCTGACTACCCCAAAAACCCCACATCAAACTAAATTTTTATACCTAATTTACCTAATTCATCTAAATAAACCTACAAAACTGTGTTCCAGTTATTACTTACCTTGCTGTCGAGTGCTGTAGGCGTATGGAAGATGGTGTGGAGGGGGGAGGAGGAGAGGAGTTACTGTTTGGAAGGGGAGTCCCCTTCCATAATCACATCACATAACCCCATGCCTTGTAACACTATGGATACCACTTCTCTTTCTAAATTTTTCAAACCAGCCCCTGCTTGCCTTAAACTCTTTCTTATCTGCATCACTCGTTGCAGGGGTATTCTTTAGAAGGTCTTCGTGCAACACCCTGGCTTTCTCACAAATAATGGCCTCCGAAACACTATCACCCCTCAACTCCTTGTCGTGTATCCAAATTAATAACAACTTTTCCACTTCAAGTATTTGTGGTCTTTGTGCCGTTAATGTTCTTACTCCTTTTGCCACTTTAGCACCCATAATCTTATTTTTCTTCTTAAGTATAGTGCATATTGTTGATGTGGCTTTGTTGTACTGCCTACAAAGTTCAACAACACGTGTACCGTTCTCATGCTTCCGAATGATCTCTTGTTTCTCCTCTATTGTCATCCTCACATGAGCTTTCTGGCCTTTATCCTTACCACTGGCTTTCTTGGGACCCATGGTGAGATATATAATAACAAATTGTATAGACAAATCACCAAAAATCCAACAAAACACTGAAAATCCGCGAGAAGAATTGATGTGGGGGTAGTCACTGAGCGCGAGACAATAATAAACTGAGGGGCGGAGGGGCGACAAACGCGCTAGGTCGGCTGTACGCGTATCAACAAACTCGCGTCCAAACTCGCCTCCCGAAGTAACCCTCGCCTTCTGAGACAAATTTTTGGAGTAAATACACCTCGCCTTCCGAAAACCTCGCATACAGGGACAATCGCATTCCAAGGTACCACTGTACCTGTATTGCTTTGGTTGTATGGATTGTTGGGTTCGATTCATTCTAATCACTTAAGTGGGCTATGTATATTGACTGCTAATGGACATTTTCAGGCTTTTTCATTAAATTTGTAGTCCCTCTGTCCAGAGTATTTTCTTGATCACATGGCCTCTCATTGAAGATATTGGAGACAGTTGCAAATCTCTTGGTTAGAATTGTGTTCCTAGGTGTTTATCTTAATACTGTATAACCTTGTACTCGAAGGTTCAATTTTTTTTATCCAACTCTATATAAAATTGTTTTGCAAGTTCAAGAATGTTTTCAGCGAGTCTTCTTCGGCTGCTTGTTAAAACTTAAGTACAGTATTCGCAAATTGAAGGCCAACTTTTATCAACCACCATTCATGGAAAACAAGAGTTGAACAGGGGATGACTAATTGCTGCTTTGCCAAAGTATGTTTACTGTACTGTTCTTATGCCAAATTAAAGGCTAAAATCTAAATTAGTCCCTTTTTTTTATACAGGTGATATCTCTAAAGAAAATCATGTACCTAGCTTTTGTCCATTGTTGACTTAACTCTCAAAATTGAAAAAAAAAAGTGCCAAAAAGAGTTGTACAAAAATTAGTTCTTCCAGAATGAAGACTGGCAGAATCAGTGTGTTAAACACCTAGCACAAAGTTTGCTTACAGTGGTATGGGGAGTGAACTCGCTTGTTCACCTTGGATGTTTTATGTTCGTTGCTTTACTTATTAGTTTTCACAAATGAAATGTTTGTGTCGATTCTAGATTTATGTACATATAATTGACAAAAACGGTGAGTACTGTATATAGGCCTATAGTGAGGTATGTATACCCATTACATGGAAACCTGTTACTGGCACAGTTCAAAGGAAAGTTCTTGCAACCCAACTCCTTGGCTGTGTCTGGCCATATTGTCCAGGCATGAATTAAAGCGACATTTGACCAAGTTGTTGTGTGACGATAACAGCAGGTCCCTATCACAAGATACTTATTACATACTTCCATATAAAGCAATAGAATTCTTTTTATAAGTTTTTTCCTTTATTATATCCATATAGAGGTATAATATGCCTGTTTACAGCATTTGTCCTGTATGCAAACCAGGCAATAATAATGGTAATTGTCAAATGACTTAACAGTATTTACCCAGCAGATCAATAAATGAAGACATGTTTAACCCCTGCACTGCGCACCTGTTTTGGGCAAAAACATCATAGTGCAATTGTTAAGGACATGTTTTTGTTGTTTTTATAAATGTACAGGTAAAGTTACTGTAATGTCAAAATGTTTCCAAACTCGACTATTTTCATTTTAAAACAGTGACGAAAACAATAAAAAACATTAAAATATAGCCTAATTAAAGAAAAAAATAGTACAATTCTCGGAACGAGATTTCTCGGTTGGCGCAGCACTGGTTAAGGGTCTGTGGGTGGAAGAAGCCTTCAATGACACGAGTCTGGCTCATGTGTTGTAGCAGAGATTGTGTTAGTTAACCACTTGACTGCACAGTGTGCCTTAAGGCACTCCGACAGTTGAGATAGATTTTTTTTTAATTAGGCTGTATTTTAATGTTTTCATCACTTTGTGAATTGAAATTAGATTGTTGAGTTTGGAAACATTTTGATATTAGCAGTAGCTGAACATTTATAAAACAACAAATACTTTGCATCTTTAACCACTGCACTGCTCCGCATTAAAATGACACACCCGTGGTGCGCCGAAAAGAAATTCTTAACAAAAAATTATTTTCTCATACTGTATTAGTAAAATGCAGTTTCTGATCATAAACTAAAAAAAAATTATTGTATGTGACATAGTTTAGTCGCGTTGGAGCTGGGAAGTTGAGCATATTATGGGTGCTGAGCGATGGAGTGCTCAAGGTCACTAGGCCCTGCCACTCTGTGGGGTGGCAGTTGCCACGAATGTAATGTTTCACAATTATTTTGACGTTTCTCGTTCGTTTCTTCTCTGGTTTTATGCTGCAATATTATTCAAAAGTGTGTAATTTGTGTAATTTATATAGTTCAATGTGTGGAACATTGCTATGCTCAAAATTATGGGGCTCATATATGTGACATGTATATTATATTCTATGATCAATCAGTGTTTTTGCTGTTATTACACTAAATACACACATTATATATACTTATCTACATATGTTTTCACCATAATGAACCACTAAATTGGTATGGTGAGCCCAAAAAACAAGAGTGGGCTGCCACACCCAGCCAGCCCTCCCACACCCAGCCAGCCCTCCCTCACCCAGCCAGCCCTCCCTCACTCCTTCAACACGTAACTCGCCAACAATACTCCTCCCCCAATACTGTTTGTGGTGTTATTACATTATATACAAACATTATATATATGTAAGTATCTACATGTTTTATTCACCATAACTGTACACGTGAGCTGGTATGGTGTCCAAACAGCATAGTGGCCACTGCATGACAATTCACACGGCAAACGACAGCCTCACTCGCTCCCTCACCGAAATGGCTCCTCCCAACAAACTCCTTTTGCTGTTATTACACTCTATACACACGTTATATATAAATATCTACATTGTGTTCACCATAGCGAACCACTAAGCTGGTATGGTAATTTCAGACAATAACATGTTGCCACACACTAGCCAGCAGCCCACGCTCTCTCTCTCTCTCCCTCCCTCACCAACAGTACTCTCCCATTGCCAATTCACAGCACTAATTCTCACCACAATCATGTTATTAGAATCCTGGTCACTAAATCATGTAAATGAATAATTTTCCACATGTTTATTTTGTAAAGAAACATGAGAAATTGTTGGAAGAATTTTAAATGGACGAAATAATGGCTGTGTGCTGTGGCTAGCGCTGTGAACGTCTTGAACAACATTTATTCATTGATATCTGAACATTGTACACAGTCTTTATCACAGTCAGGCTCTTCTGTAATACACTGTACTATCATGGCAAAATAATACCAAATACAGTACATACATATATTTGGAAAATTCTAGGCGATGCTGTGGTCAAAAGCTGAACAGCAGAGCTAACAGGTTAGCTCATGCTGCGTGCGCCAGCCTTGGTTGCTCACCTGGTACTGAGGTCTTCACACCCGGGAATGTTGCCCACGATTTTTTTTTTTAAATGGTGTCTGTTTAGGAGAGCTCTGAGGAAGCTGATGTGAACCCCATGTCGCCGCAGGAGTTTTGAATGATACACTATACTGTACCTAATAAGATCCCCGAGGTGCGTTGTGCACCACCCGTCGAGAGCTTCAAGGCATGTTGCGCAGTGCAGTGGTTAACAGCTGCACTATGAAACTTGCCAAAAACAGGTGCACAGTGCAGGGGTTAAAAATGCAAACCTATCCAGGTTTATTCTCTAAGACATGTGAAACTTTTAAAATACACAATTATCACAGCAATAATGTTTTACATCAGTCAGTAACTTAGAGGACAGCTTGTCATATTACATACAAGGGTTCATCCAATCCAAGGTACATAGGGCTTAGGTTATTTGAAGACAATTATAAATTTAGAAATTAGACAAAATACAGTATTGCTTTACATGGA